GAACGAAGATCCCACATACTGCTCAGCATGACCAAAAAAAGAGAAATGGACCCTGAAATAACAGAGAGACAAGAATAAGCAAAGATTATACTATAGCTACTACAAATACACTCAAAGATTGAAAAGAAAACATGTACACAATAAAGAGAGAAAAAGGAAGATTTAAAAAATAAACCAAGGAACTTGTAGACTGAAAAAGTACAACATATGAAAAATATTCATTACATGGAATTAATAACAGATTAGACATTGAGGAAGAAAAGATTAGTGAAATTAAAGACTTAAAAGCTATCTAAAATGAAGCACACAGAGAGCAAAAACGCTTACAAGATGAACAGAACCTCAGTGACCTGTAGAACAATATCAAGTAATCTAATATACATAACTGGAGTCCTAGAAAGAAGGAGAGAGAAGAAGGACAAACAAAAAAACAAAGAATGAGGCTTCCCTGGTGGTGCAGTGGTTAAGAATCCACCTGCCAATGCAGGGGACACGGGTTCGAGCCCTGGTCCAGGCAGATCCCACGTGCCGTGGAGCAACTAAGCCTGTGCGTCACAACTACTGAGCCTGCACTCTAGAGCCCGTGAGCCACAACTACTGAGCCCACGTGCCACAACTACTGAAGCCCGCGTGCCTACAGCCCATGCTCCAAAATGAGAAGCCACTGCAATGAGAAGCCCGTGCACAGTAACAAAGAGTAGCCCCCGCTCACCGCAACTAGAGAAAGCCCACTCACAGCAACGAAGCCCCAACACAGCCAAAAATAAATAAATAAATAAATTTATTTTCAAAAAAATCAGAGAATGAATGGCCACAAAGTTTCCAAATATAGTAACTATAAAACCACAATCTAAGAAGCTCAATGAATCCCAGAGGAGATAAACACAGAGAAAAGCACAACCAAGCACATTATAAATTAAAGTGTTGGAAATCAGAGATAAAGTGGGAATTCCCTGGTGGTCTGGTGCTTAGGACTCTGAGCTTCCACTGCAGGGGGCCTGGGTTCTATCCCTGGTCGGGGAACTAAGACCCCACAAGCCGTGCGCAGCATGCGGGATCTTAGTTCCCCGACCAGGGATTGAACCCAGACCCCCTGCAGTGGAAGCGCCGAGTCTTAACCACTGGACCACCAGGGAAGTCCCAGGCAATACCTATTTTCAGATAAATAAAAGCTGAGTGAATGTGTGGCCAGTAGACATACAATAAAAGAAATGTTTTCATTCCTAGGTTTTGGCACCAAAAAAAAAAAAAAAAAGAAAGAAAGAAAGAAAAAGAAAATTAAAAAGAAAGGAATGTTAAAGGAAGTTCTTTGGAAAGAAGGAAATGTTACCAGAGATTTGGATCTATGCAATGGAATGAAGAACACAAGAAATTTACAAAATGTGGTTAATGCAATTTTTTTGTTTTTTAATTTGGCTGTGCCAGGTCTTAGTTGCAGCATGCAGGCTCTTCTATTTCCCTGACCAGGGATCGAACCCAGGCCCCCTGCGTTGGGAGTGCAGAGCCTTATCCACTGGACCATCAGGGAAGTCCCAATATAATTATTTCTTTTTCTTTTTTTTTTTAAATAGTCTCTTCCTTACTGCATTCAGGGTTTTTTTTTTAATTAATTTATTTTTTATTTATTTATTTTTGGCTGCGTTGGGTCTTCATTGCTTTGCGCGGGCTTTCTCTAGTTGCGGTGAGTGGGGGCTACTCTTTGTTTCCCTGCACGGGCTTCTCATTGCAGTGGCTTCTCATTTTGGAACATGGGCTGTAGGCGCACGGGCTTCAGTAATTGTGGCTTGTGGGCTCTAGAGCTCAGGCTCAGTAGTTGTGGCACGCGGGCTCAGTAGTTGTGGTGCACGGGCTCAGTAGTTGTGGTTTGTGGGCTCTAGAGCACAGGCTCAGTAGTTGTGGTGCATGGGCTTAGTTGCCCCGCGGCATGTGGGATCTTCCCAGACCAGGGATCGAACCCGTGTCCCCTACATTGGCAGGCGGATTCTTAACCGCTGTGCCACCAGAGAAGCCCTATAATTATTTCTTAATGTCTTCAGATGATAATTCCCTTTTAAAGAAAAACTAACAGCAATGTGCTATGAGATTTATTTTACAACATATTTGAAGTAAAGCAATAGTATATACAGAATGGGAGGTGGAAATGGAAATGGAAGCTTGTAAGGGTCTTACAGGATGTGTGAAGCAGTATGTTTTAACCCTAGTCATATTCAGAGACAGAAAGTAGAATGGTGGGGGCCAGGAGCTGGGGGAGGGGTGGAGAGTCAGTGTTTCATGGGGACAGAGCTTCAGTTTGGGAAGATGAGAAAGTTCTGGAGATGGATGGTGGGGATGGTTGCCCAACGGTGTAAAGGTACTTAATGCCACTGAGCTGTGCACTTAAAAATGGTTAAGATGGTGAATTTTATATTTATGTGTATTTTACCACAATTAAAAATTAATGCACAGGGCTTCCCTGGTGGCGCAGTGGTTGAGAGTCCGCCTGCCGATGCAGGGGACACAGGTTTGTGCCCCGGACTGGGAAGATCCCACATGCCGCGGAGCGGCTGGGCCCGTGAGCCATGGCCACCGAGCCTGCGCGTCCAGAGCCTGTGCTCCGCAAAAAAAAAAAAAAAAAAAATTTGCAGGAAGACAGGATCTGAACCTGCACTTGACCAAATCTCCTCCTCTCCTCCTCCTAATCCCAGCCCTGTCAGATGCAAGTGAAGGGATACACACAATGTGGTCCCTCCACACGCGGGAGCATCACTCAGCCACGAAAAGGGGTGAAGCCCCAACACTCGCTACAACGTGCATGTACCCTGAGAACATGATGCTCAGTGAGAGAAGCCAGACGCAGGACACACAGTGTGTGATTCCACTGATAGGAAACGTCCAGAACAGGCAGATCCACAGACAGAGAGAGTGGATACCTGGTTGCCAGGGGCTGGGGATAGGGGGTGACTCTGATGGGGACAGGCTTCTTTTGGGGTGATGGAATGTTCTGGAACCGGATAGAGATGATTGTGGCACAACTGTGGGAATGTACTAAATACCACTGGATTGTACACTTTACAGAGTGAATTGCACATGAACTGTATCTCAATAAGGCTGTTATTTAAGAAAATGACAAAGTAATTTCCAGTACAGCTCGGCTGGGCTGAGTGGTGTGTGTTTGATGATTGACTAAACAAAGGTGTGGATGGGTGACTAGGTGGGAGGATACAAAAGCAGCCCACAATTGAATGTAAATTGGTGCAGACACTATGGAAAACGGTATGGAGTTTCCTCAAAAAACTAAAAATAGAGTTACCGTATGTTCCAGCAATCCCGCTCCTGGGCATATATCCAGACAAAACTCTAATCCAAAGAGATACGTGAACCCCTATATTCCTAGCATCACTATTCACAATAGCCAAGACATGGAAACAACCTAAATGTCCATCGACAGAGGAATGGATAAAGAACATGTGGTACATATATACAATAGAATATTACTCAGCCATAAAAAAAGAATGAAATAATGCCATTTGCAGCAACATAGATACAACTAGAGATTATCATACTAAGTGAAGTAAGTCAGAGAAAGACAAATATATGATATCACTTAAACATGGAATCTAAAATATGACACAAATGAACTTATCTACGAAACAAAAACAGATTCACAGACATAGCGAACAGACTTGTGGTTGCCAAAGGGAAAAGGGGGGTGGGAGAGGGATGGATTGGGAGTTTGGGATTAGCAGATGCTAACTATTATATATAGGATGGATAAACAACAAGGTCCTACTATAAAGCACAGGGAACTATATTCAATATTCTGTGATAAACCACAATGGAAAAGAACATGAAAAAGAATATATATACGTATAACTGAGTCACTTTGCTGTACTGCAGAAACTAACACAACATTGTAAATCAACTATACTTCAATTAAAAGAAAAAAAAAAAAAACAGCCCACAGTTGAGCCTCACAGCCCCCCCTGGAAGGAAACGACCCGACTTTCCAGATGAGGAAACCAAGGCCTCTGAGCTGTGCCTGACCCGCGTCAGCCAGCAGAGCCTGGCTTCTTTTCGATGGCGTCATCCTCCTCCCTGAAGCCCTCCCTGATGGACCCCGGCTCCACAGGGACGTGGATGTTTAGCTGCTTCTGAGCCCGGCACGCAGCAGGTGCTCATAAAGGCGAGGTGACCACGCTTTGTGGGTGCTCCCACCCCCAGGGACCCTCTTTTCTGAGGCTGAGAGAGGAAGCAATGCTCCCAGAGTCACCGTGGCCAGCCTGGTGGTGGCTTTGTGCTCATGGGGGTGGGGCCAGTGCCTGGCCCTGCTCCGAGGTGGGGATGTGCCCCAGCAGGGACCTCAGGCCAGCCCTCCTTCCACCCCCGCAGCGGCTGAGGAGCTGATTGGCCCACCTCGCGGCCTCCAGCCACCTGCTGCTGTCTGTCTTGGGGCCACCCTCCCCATGCTCCATCCTGTCCACCAGGCCCAGCGTGGCAACAGCGGGGTAAGAGGGGCAGAGGGAGGCCTGGGCAGAGATGGTGGTCCCTGGGATCTGGGAGGGCATCCCTGAGGTCCACGGGTGTCCCCGACTCCTGTGGCTGCCCACACACACCCTTAGGGGCACCCCCTGGCCCACTGGGCCCCTTCCCCACGGCCTGCTCTGGCCCCAGGGATGGGTCACACTAACGCTGGCAGCAGAGACACTGGGGACCCCAAAGAGCAGGGCTGTGGAAGCCAACAGACGGGTTTGGCTCCAGCTCTGCACAACCTCTGGCCCACGGCTCCACCTCCAGCCTCAGTTTCTTCATCTGCCCTATGGGAGCAGAGACGGCCAGAAGAGGTGGCGACCCCAGCGTTGGGGTCCGGAGGCCCGGGACCCCTGCCCCTGCCTGCCAAGGCCAGAACCAGGCTGGTCCCGGCTGCTGGGGCTTGAGCTCCTACACCCAGGGTGTCTGGGGGGAGGCTGGGTGCCAGGAATAGGGGGCGAGGATGGTCCAAAGGGAGACCCCAGGGGGGCAAGGGCCTAGGAGGGGCTGGGCCCCACATTGGCCTGTCCTGCTGGCCTCAGGCACTGGATAAAAATAGTCGCTGGTCTCTGAGAACATGAGCCGACCCTGGAGCCAAGGGTTCCGGTTTGGGCTCTTTGCTCACCTCTGTGTGACCATGGCCAGAACCCAGCCCACTCTGGGCCCCAGCAGCCCAGCAGCCTGTCAGGAGGGGTCCTGAGGCAGGCCTGAGGGGGGCAGGGAGAGTGCCTGGCGGAGGGCTGTGGTCGTGCCCTGCGTGTGAAGCTACCGAGGAAAGGTGGCTCCAGGCAGAGGGACAAGGAAGGCGGTGTGGGGAGGTAGGGAGCCCCCTTCTCCGCAGGTCAGGCCCAGGCCCAGGCCCATACCAGGGGCTCAGCAAATGCAGGCTGCCTCCTCCCCCTCCCCCCCAAGCCGGACTCTGGACCTGCTGCTTCTCAGACGTCTCCATGACAACCAGGGCCTTGGAGGAGTTGGATGGAGGCCTGGGCAGTTGCCAAGTGGACGAGGACCTCTCTGCACTGGCTGACCCCTGCCCAGGCCGGCCCCGGGAGGACAGGGCTCAAGGTAGCCAAGAGGGTACCACAGGATGAAGCCCACGGCCCCATCCTCCTGTTGAGCCAGGTGGCTCACCTTCAGGGACCAGGACTTGGTCTCCCACACTAGACTGACTTAAACCATGCCCCCCATTTCCAACCTGTGTCCATTAGTGTGTTGGGGGTTTGTAAAGAGCCCAGAGAACACAGGTGCTGGGCCACACAGGTCGGGGTTTGAATCCCAGCTTGGCAGTGACGTGCTGTGTGCCTTCACGCAAGGCTGCCTCTGCGTCTGTCTGCTTTCTAATCTGCAGAACGGGAGCAGTCACCTGCCCCTCACCCAGCAGAACTGAGCGGAGGGTGGGATCAGCCTGGGGGTTTCCACGACTGTGACTGTCCCTCTTTTCCTGCCAACAGCGACATCCAGGCTGGCCGACTCCAGCAGCTGGCCCCGTGTGAGTAGCCAGGGCCCTGGGGTTTCAGCCCAGGGTGCCCCTAGAGTAGGGGACATGTTGGCCAAGAGGGTGCATTTCTGCAGCCCATGGGAAGGGTTTGGTCTCCCTTAGGGAAACACCCAGGATGACATGTTACTCCCCACAGGATTCTCAGGAGCCGGCAGCTGAGGGCAGCCCCGCAGGCGGTGTGGATGCTTGGCCCAAGAAAACAGAAAAGGAGCCTGTGGACAAAGTGGCCTCCGGACCGGGTAAGGAGAGGCTGAAAGCAGAAGCAAGTGGGTTTCCGGGAGGCAGGGGTGAGGTGGGGGGGGTGGGTGTGGACCAGCATGGGGGTGGGGGATCGGTCCTGGGCTGGGTCCTTGGATCGGGGGGGCAGGGTGATAGCGTGCATGGGGCTCCTGACTGGGGGGTGTCTGGGTGTCACAGGCCGTTACTCAGTGGGCTGTGGGAGCCTCTGCTAATTCATGATAACACCAGCTTAGGTGCCACTAAGCTTCAGCTAATTATCTTCTAGAATATTCTCGGCATCCCAGTGAAGCGGCCAATCCCGCAGGGCTTAGTTCCTCGGCCCAAGGCCGCACAGCCGGGCAGGGCAGAGCTGAGTTTAGCCGCGGGTCAGCCCCACGCGGCCTGCGCCCAGCCCGCACTTGCTCCCGCAGGTCCCCGGAGCCCCGCGCGGAAGAAGGCGCAGGCCGCGCCGCCCTCGCAGCCGCCGCCCACGCCCCCGGTCCTGAGCGAGGAGCTGCTCTGGGGACACCTGACGCTCAACAAGTGCCTGGTGCTCGCCTCGCTCGTGGCGCTGCTGGGCTCCGCCTTCCAGCTGTGCCGAGGTGAGCCTGCGCCGCAGCACGTGGTTACTCCCTCCCGGAAGCGCGGACAGCCCAGGGGGCGGGTCTGTGCGCTCCCACTCTAGGCCGTGCGCGCCCCCTTCCCCCCAGTATGGACCTTGTGAGTGAGGGGGGGTTCCCCCGCCCCGTGCACCTCCTGCTCAGCGACAGACTGACCTTGTGCACCCCGACGGTCGCGCCCGACTCCCTCTATCCAGGACCAGCTTTGACCCCCGCCTCCCATAGACCTTAAGAGGAGCCCTGCCCCCCCACCCCCCAGCAAGGACCTCGGTGCATCTCCCTTGCCCGGTGACCGACCCTCACTGCCCCACGACTCCCACCCCGGGCCTTGTAGGCCCGGGATGGGCGTGTGCGCCCCCGTTCGGTAGCGTGCTGCTTTCTCTGTGCGCCAGGGCGGGCGCTCCTGCGTCCCTCAGAGAAACGGGAGCATCCTTTTGCAGCCTGAATGAGGGAGGTTTGAAGGGAAGGTCATCGCAGCAGCGGAGACTCGGAACCCCTTCCCAGGGCTCGGAGGGACCCGAGCCCAGCCTCAGCGTACCCGGTGGGGTCCGGCTGGGCCCCCTTGCATGTCCCCAGGGAGAGGGGTCTCTGGGGGCAAGGGCGGGGATGGACGGTGTGCAGTGGTCGGTCCCCTGGGCCAGGCTGTTTCGCATCCCCTCCCGTCCCCTCCCAGAGGCCGTGGCGGGGGAGGCGGAAGCCCCTGCGCCTGTCCCTGAGCCGTGGGTCCTGCCAAGCTCGTCCCTGAAGGAGCCAGCGTCACCCCTGGTAAGCACTTCCTCAAGTGACCTGTCAGTGGGGCCTTCACTGGGGGAAGGGGCCTGGGCCTTGGAACTCTGTGCCGACCCCACCACCCCACACTGTCCACATTGCAGCCAAAGTCCGTGGCCTGGGCCCCCCCACTGGGATCGCTCGAGCCCCCGGCGAAGGTAGAGGAAAGGGCCGCGGTTCCCAGGAGCAGCGGGGCTGCAGGGAAGGACAAAGGGGAGTCTGAGGAGACCGCTGAGGAGGAGCGCGTGCCGCTTGCCGACCGAGGGCCCAAGGAGAGGCGGAAGAAGGCGGAGAGGCTGAGAAAGGAGAGGCCCCGGAAGGAGAGGCCACAGAAGGAGGAGAGACCGAGGAGGGAGAGACCCCGGAAAGAGGAGAGGCCGCGGGCTGCCGGGGAGGCCCTACACCGACGCTGGGAGGCGCGCGAAGGGGGCCATCGGGCATGGGCGGGAGAGTCCAGAGACCCCGAGCATAGGAAGAGGCAGGCCTGGGCCTCCCCGCGGCGCCCCGATGAGGAAGACCGGCCTCCCGGCCGCCAGAAGCACCACGTGGGCAAGGGGCGGGACTGAGCCAGACCTGGGTCCTGCGCGGGGGTCCCTGAACCTCTGCTCGACCGCCCCGCAGTTCCAGCAAATAAAGCGAGCGCTGTGGTCCCCCTCATCGCCTGCTCCTTTGTGCCTGGACTCCAGAACCTGCCCGGGGCCTGAGTGACAGGGATGGGGAGCTTTAGGCGGCTGTAGGGGGGGGGGGGGCGGGGGCGGGGTCAGGGAGGCAGTGGGTGCCAACGGGGAGGACGCGGCCCTGCCTGCCAGAGGAGAAATGGGGGAAGGAGGCCTCCGCCTGTCCCCAGACATGCACGGACACCCCAACCGCGTGCTTTCTGGTCTTTATTGGGAGCGATGAAGGGGTCCGAATAAATATGGGCCGGCCGGAGCACGGCGCGGGGTCACCGGCAGCCGCACTCGGTGGCCACCATGTTGGGCACGTGGTGCGCGCTGATGCGCTCCTCGGACAGGCTGATGAGGAGCTTGCCGGCGTAGGCCGTGGGCACGCAGCAGGGCGGGCGCGCCAGGGCGGCGCCGCGGGCCTGCATCTTCAGCAGGAGCACCACGTGGTTGCCGTACCGCGGGTTGCGGTCCGATTGCGGCCAGCCGCACGCGCCCTGGCAGTTGTTGGCCTGGTACGTCTCCGGGATGAGCACCGAGCGCTCGGCGCGGAGGTCCACGCTCAGCTCGCGCAGCCCGCACGGCCCGTCGGTGGCCGCGGCGCCGGCGCTGCGCTGCGCCCGTGCCGACCCGCTCCGCTCCCGCCCGCGCCACTCGGCGCGCAGGCCCTGCAGCGCTTTCAGCAGCAGCAGCGCGCGCAGCGGACCGCCGGGGCCGACCGGGTTCCCCGGGCACAGCGCCAGTAGGCGTGCCAGCAGCGGGGTGGTGGCGGGCGGCAGCCCCGGGAGGCCGCGCAGTTCCGCGGCCGCCGCCTGAAGCTCGGCGGCTACCCGGCGCGCTAGGCCCGCGGCCCACAGCGCGGACGCCGGACCCTGCAGTGGCGCGGGGACCCCGGGGGTGGCTGCCGTGGGCGGCAGCAGCAGCAGCAGCGGCTCCTCGCCGTCGAGCAGGCGCTCCAGCGCCGCGGGGTCCGACAGGTTGACCTGGCCCTGCGGGAAACCGGTCAGCGAGCCCGGGTCCAGGGCCAGACGCGGCGGCGAGGCTCGGGACGCGGGTCCCCGCAGCGCGCGCACCAGGCGCGTGAGCGTCTCCAGGAAGGGATCGGCGCTGGGTGGCGCCTCCTCGGGCTCTGGGGACGGCCTGGACGGCAGAGTGGGGGATCGTGAGGGCGCAAGGCTGCGCCGCCCCCCACTCCCCGCGCCCCCAGGGCCGGGCCCGCGCGCACCTGGGCTGCGGGAAGGGCACCGAGTCCAGCTGGCCGTGCGCGGGCATCGGCGTGGGACCCCGCGGCGGCAGCAGGAGCAGCGCCGGGGTCATCCGTGTGAAGCAGCGGGAGTCGGCGCCGAACAGCAGCGCCTGCAGCTGGGCGGTGCTCAGTGGCGCACCTGCGACGGGAGGCGCGTGCGCGGCGCTGCTTCAGCGCCGGAGGTCTGGGGGTCGAGGACAGCCGTCCCCACCACGCTCCGCAGCATCCCTGTCCCTGTCTGGGCGAGACCTACCGTTTCCGCGGCGCCGCAGGGTCAGGGCGAGCCCAGGCCCGCGCCAGGCCGCCTCGGGGCGTCCCACAACCAAGGGCAGGTAGCTGGAGTCCCGGCTCAGGCAGAAGCTCTGCGGAAATGGGGGCTCAGCCAGGCAGTGGGCGCGCAGGGCGCCAGCCCTGCTCTGCCTGCTGCCCTTAGCATCCCTTCAAAATTCCAGCCTGGGCACTTGCAGCCTTTTTGTTAAACCCAGTTAAAAAAATCAACAAAACCGTAACCCCTTCCTCGCCCTGAGTGAGGGCTCCTGGTGGCCCAGGGGCAGTCCCCTTCAACTCCCTGGTACCTGGGCGCCGGGCAGCCCGGCCCCGGTGACGGTGACCTCCGGGCCAGGCCCTGGGTACAGCACCATCAGCGCCAGCTCTTCGGGGCTGGCTCCTCCAGGTGGAGGCTCCTGGAACCTCAGCGAGGGTGTCGGCTCCCATGTCACTGCGGCCAGGACAGTGGGGAAGGGGATGCCTGAGCCCCTCCCCCAAGCCTGTCCCAGTCCTGCAGGAGGGAGAGCCCCCACCCCACCCAGAGCCCCGGGGAACCTAGAGGGAGAGGCTTGACGCCCCTGGACCCCAGGTGTAGCGCTTCCTTGGGACACGGGTGGCCTGGGAGGAGTGACAGACACTGTGGGCAGTGGGGTGGAGCCCTTGGGGTCTCTTGGTCTGGGGATGTCCTGGGGTAAAGCCCTTCCTTGTAGTGTGTCTGAGGCCAGCGGTCCCTGGGGACAGGCCCCCTGGGCAGCCTGGTCAGGGAGTGGGGGGAGGGGCCCTCCTCGCTGGACCTTCAGGCTGTGCTGGCCCTGCCCCCTGTGGCTCCAAGGTCGGAGGAGAGGGGACCCTCCCCAGGCACTGCAGGAGGACTTGCTGCCCCAGGCAGGGCAAAGATAAGATCACCCACCTCTGTGGCCATCAGCCTCCACTTCCCAAGGGTTCTCCCACCCCGGGGCACCAGAGCCGGCCCCCCGCCCAGGCCCCTGGGTTAGGGCCCCACGTACCTTCCTCCAAGTGCAGGACCACCAGCCGCCGCCCCCCGGGCCCCCCAAGCCATGCCTGCAGCTGCTGCAGATGGGGCAGGGTGGGCTGCCCGTCTCTCGGGGGGCAGATTGCAAAGGTGGCCAGGTCCCGGGGCCCCCAGTGGGCGCGCCGCACAGCCTCTAGGAACGCCCGCTCGTAGCCGCTCAGGGCCCCCACCACCCGCAGGGGAGCACTGCTCCTGTTGCCACCCCCATCCAGGGTCACCAGGCACAGGGGGTCCCGAGGGCTGCCTGGTGGCCAGACGCCAGGGGGTGGCCAGTCCCAGTCTTGGTGCAAGATGAGCCCTCCGCCTCCGCCGCCTGGGGTTGGCTCCCTGGGCAGGGCCGGGGTGCTGGGGACCTCTCCCCTGAGGGTCCTGGCCCCCAGCAGGGCCCCCATTGCCAACAGCACCAGGGCCAGCTGAGAGAGAGGTGGACCCTGCATCATGGGAGCTTGGAGGGGCCGGGCTGCCCCAGCTTATATGGGGGAGCAAGAATGTTTGTGCCAGAAGGCGGCCCCTATCTCCTTCAGGGATGTGACCTTGGGGGCCAGTGCCCGCTGTGAGCCCGGGCAGGCCGGCAGCCTCCTCAAAGCCCCTTCTGTTCCGGCTCAGCTGCCTATCTATCTTCTTCTCACCAGTGCTACAAAGTGTGGCCTGTGACCCATTTGTCAAAATGTCCTTGACAAGTTTTCCCCTTTAGAGCAGGAGCAGGAATGTGAGCAGGGAGTGTGTGGCCCAAACGATCAACAATTTGGGGGGTGGAGGGTGCTGGAGGAGGGCAGAGGGCAGAGCCCCTGCCCCACGGGACCACTGGGTGGGGGGGCGAACCCCCACACCCACTGCACGCTCGCTCACCACGCCTTCGGGGCCCACAGAGACCCCCAAGGAGAGCGAGCAGCCTTTGCTCTGCTCTCCTCCCAGAGGGCGACCCCAGACCCACTGCTGGCCAGCAGGGTCTGTCCTCACCCAGCAGCCTCCAGGGCACAGCATTGCCAGCGGCCACCCCCTGGGATCCTGGTGGGGCCCCGACCCTGAGCCACCCCCATAGGTGGCAGAGGGCAGCCATGCGTGTTCACCCACAGCGAGTGGGTGCTTCCCGCCCACCCGCCCGCCGGCCAGCCCACACAGCAGTGCGCTCCAAGGTTAGCAGAGACTCTTTAATGGGCTCTGGGAACACGGCCCAGCCCTGTACAAAAAACTCAACTTCACTCTGCGGGGGGGAACACAGGAAAACAAGGCCAGACTTGCTGGGACAGGGGTGGCTTTTCAGTTGGTGGGGGGAGGGGGAGGAATGTTCCCAGGGCCTTCGGAGGGCAGCGGGGGCCTCAGCATCGGAGGCATGGGAGTTGGGGGATGCACCCCGGGATTTGAGGGGTGAACTCCAGGAGGCTGGGGATGGACCCCAGGAGCTGGAGGATGGACCCCAGGAGCTGATGGGTGGACCCCAGGAGGTGGGGGGTGGACCCCAGGAGGCTGGGGGTGGATCCCTGGGGCTGGGGGGTGGACCCCGGGAGCTGGAGGATGGACCCCCGGGGCCTGGGGGTGAACTGCAGGAGCTGGTGGGTGCACCCCTGGGGCCTGGGGGTGAACCCCAGCAGATGGGGGAGGATGGACCCCGGGGGCTGGAGGGTGGACCCCTGGTGCTGGAGGGTGGACCCCTGGGGCTGGGGGATGGACCCCCGGAGCAGGGGGGTGGACCCCAGATGCTGGTGGGTGGACCACTGGTGCCGGTGGGTGGACCCCAGGAGCTGGGGGGTGCACTCCAGATGCTGGGGGGTGGACCACTGGTGCTGGGGGGTGGACACCGGGAGCCGGTGGGGGCAGCTGAGGAGGGCCCGGAGGCCCCGAGGACGCAGGCCCACTGGGCGGCATGGGGGGCAGGGGCAGGCCTCCTGGCGGGGGCGGGGGCAATGACTCGGGCAGTGGTGGCCGAGGGGGCAAACCATTCATCAGCGGGGGTGGGGGCCGCTTCACCCCAGGAGGCCCTGCAGGGAGGCTCGGCGGGGCCGGTGGCTTCTCCATCTTAAAGTGGAACTGGAGGAAAAACTGGACAGAAAGGAGAGGCTGAGCGTGGCCCCTGGGCCTCGGGCTGGGAGAAGGTTCGGCAACTGCCTGGACCTGCAGTGACTCACCTGCTTAGTTTCCCGGTTCCAGTGAGTCCAAAACTTGCCTTCAGCCTTGTCAATCTCCCTGCTTGGCACCTGCGTGGGGTGGAGCAGGGGGCAGAGACGGGCCTTCAGGACCACGAGATGGCCTGGCTGAGGAGGCCCTTCTGTGAGGGGACAGGGTCTAGCTTAGGGGTAACAGAGTCGACTGATGTCCTTGCTCCACCGCTCAGCAAACCTGCAAGCCCGAGAAAGCCGTGATCTATGCTATGCCATTAACGTCCATCTGGGGACCAGATCCGGTCATGGAATCCATGAACAGCCAGCAGCAGGGACACCTTACTGCTGGGGCCATGTCAGGGGTCTCTGCTTCTGGGCAGACACCCACCTCGATGCCCAGCCCCCGGCCCTCGCGCTGCCTTGTCCTTTGCCACCCTCTCAAGAGGCAAGGGCCC